TGAAACTGATATTTGCCAATCTGTAGTAAATCTGCGGTGGTTTGAAAGATTTGGCTTTGTAAATGAAAGACCGCAGTTGAGTAGAGATTCATTATTAGACCGATATTTAACGAGATTAAAAATCCAAATTTCGGGTGATTTCGATCACATTCTTCGCATCGTTCGAGTCAACAACACTCAATTTCAATATAATGGAGCAAAATAATAAGAGCCTTACCGGGACACCATGTAGACATCGAAACCAGCTCCAAGTAAGAGAGAGCCCAAAGCTGTGGCCATTTCGAACGAGTGGCCGGATTGTCGCAGAATGGTCGTCTGTGGTGAATAAAAGCGTCTGGGCTAAAGAAAAAAACTTTAATGTAATGTTAAACATTTTTTAATGACTGCCGCTTTATTATTCCGTCAAGTTGCATGTGTGGAAACCTGTCAATTGAAAAAGTTGCTATTTCAATTGAGGCCAATTTCTAGTCCTTATCTTGATCCCATAGATTTTTWAAATTTTAGATTGAGAAGAAAGTCGAATTTCCCAAATCGCCATAAAACCGTAAATGCAACKTTTTCGAAAATTGAACTAATATTGCAGATATTATAGGGGGTAATTGCACAAGTGCTTCAAAATTACCGATAATTTTKCATGAAATCTTGTTGTCTAAAAACTGCATGAGTTTATTTTCATATTGTGGCGAAAAAGCCCGACTCCGCAGGAGGAAATCCTGGAAGAATCCAATTTTTGAAACGAGTCAACGCAGTTCAATAAATCCATTATTATTAGACTTATATTTACCAAACCTACAAACATCAAATTTCTGGGCGATTTTTATGAAACTTCCACAGCCTTTCTAAAGAGCATGCGCAATTCATGTTGAAACTTGCTCTAGTTTGATTGATCCGCATTTTTTAAAGAGCGAAAGCCGTTGAGTAGAAACTCTAATTATTGAACCGCTAAATAACAAGATGGCAAAAAACAGAATTCGTTTGATTCAACAGTTGATTTGGAGCTTTTCCCTTTCAACTATGCAAGATCTGGTAATTCTCTGGAAAAAAAGCCACAGCAAGAGCAGTTTACGTTCTAGCGGAGAATATTAAATAAACTTTGAAGTGTTGAAGGAGCCAAAATACCGCCAAACCCTTGCAATTACCCCTGAAAAATTAAGTACAATATCGAAAACATTATTTTCTTAAATGAGTAGCATTAGATACAATGCCATTCGAGTATTCGAATATTCGAGTATTTCTATTCGTATTCGTTAGATATTCGAGTGTCCGTTTTCCGTTCACCGTTTTCCAAGAAGAAAAATTTTCGACGTTTCGTGGAAATCTAAATTTGAAGTTAAGGTGACTTAATCGTGTTAATCGTTACATATTTGCATATGTCTTGTTGGAGCCGATCAAAAACGCTTTTCATAACGCGAGAAATTTCCCTTCTGCGGAATGAGCAACATCTCAAGCCTCTGTGGTCATAAGTAAATAAAAATGTCTAACATTTGTCCTGCCCTTTTGATTGTTTTCGACCCCTCAAAGCTTGCCGAGTGAAAATCACAACAAATTGCGATTTTTTCATCGAAATTCGACGGCAAACCAAAAAAAATTCCAGCTCTTTATTTATTTTGGGGTCTTAGTTAAATAGTGAACAATTGCATGCGGGGTTAGAAAACATTAGCTAATTTAGTTCAGATTCAACTGACGTTATAAAAACTCTAAACCGAATTTCAATTTACTCAAACGGCTTCCCGCCAGCCGCCAATTGCAAGCGATTAAAGTTTTTTTTGAAAATGTTTCTGGGTGATTTTCTATGAATTGTTTTATACATTTTTTTGTGTCCTTTTGTTCACAATTTTCTCTGAAAGCTTCAACAAAAATCGCGGACTCTCGATTCATTTTTCGTCCGTTCCTTTCAAAAAGCGTGGTCAGCGAAGGTGATCGAAGGTGAAGGACAAACCCATGATAAAGACTGCTGATATTTGGAAGCGAGACACAAATATTTAAACACTAAAATTCAAACAATTCTTGAAGTAT